GTAAACAAATAATCTATTAAAGTTGATGTTTTTTTATTATATTATTGAATGCAGTATATAAATGCATTTTAGTCAAAGATCCTTGTCAATTTGTATTTTAAGTCATTACATAACTTGTTGTATTAATTAATCAGTTTAGCAATGGATTTTGTCAAAAATGCATTTTTGCAAGCATACAATAATTCAAGAATTGTAATAAAAGAAAGTTTAATATAAAGTAATTAACAATACTTACTTTGTGGAAATTCTTGTTAAAATTTACTTAAACAATTTCAACAAAGAAAATTGCAAATAACAAACTAGTTAAAACAAATGATTGCATTATATTTATAAATGTTATTTACTTTTATATTTTAAAAAAACATAAATTGAAGAAAGGAGTTGAAATCAAGTTTTTTAAACTGTTTTTATCTACCAAAACATTTGATAGTTACTCTAGTTTATGCATAATAAAAATTTGTTTCTAATGAAAATTAAAGCATAAACCAATATAGTAATACAGATTGGCAATATCTGATATGATTAAATATTTATAAATTTGGATCATACTGTTTATCACTACATTAATTTCTAGCATACTAAATAAGTGAAAGCTCAAGAAGAAACATCATGAAAAGTTTTTTTTACTTATTTTTGAACTAATAAAAAATTCATTTATATTGTTATATGAAGATACTTGAATATGAATAATTCCATAATGTTACTATTTTATTTGAGCAAGCAAACAAAAAATTTATTATGTATAAAGCATGTACAGTAATTTTACAATAGATATTTCTAGCAATAATGATTGATTAAGGTGATGATCAACATATTACTAGTTATTGCATTTCTTAAGTCTTATAAAGACAATTTTAATAAGTTAAAAATTATTTAATGCATAATATTTTTACTAATATGGATTTGCCTTTAAATTTCAAAAATCTGTAAAATTAATTTATTCATTATTATATCCCAAAATAACAAAATCATGACAGTGATGACTATCTGCTGTAGGCTGTTAACCCATTCAACAATGATTAGGTTCTGGCTTTAATGAAAGACATAAAAAATTTCTGTTAAAAATTAGCACAACTTTTAAATAATGAAGAGAAATGGCATCATCATAAATTCATCTATGCACATCACTTGTACAGTTTTACTTGCATTGACTGATGAACTTTTTATCTAGTGAGATACATGTCAACATCTTGCTCAATGACATTTTAGCATCTTACACTAAAGTAAGTTGTTTTTGGGAATAAGGAGATTTTGATTTTATATGGATTTGAATTTAAAAATTTATTATTGTTGTTATTATTTTAATTAATGATACACCTACTGAGGTATGTTTTAAAAATGTTGTTTTACATATATATAATAACTATTTAAGTGAATTATTATGGTAAAACCTCGATTTAACAGATAATTCGAGTGAGGGATGTCCATTAAAGCCAAAAGTCCATTATACAATAAAGTAGGTTTCCCAAATAGGCATATTAAAAAATTTACAAATTAGTTAGTTAATCTGTTTTTACTTGTTTAGATACATTTGTGTAATTAAAAATTAACTATTTATGAGAAGTTTAATTTCTCATACATACTTATATATGTTTTATTGCTTATATACTCACTGTTGTTCTGAGACTGTAATAAACAAGTATACTATCTAATTTGAAACAAACGAACATGCTTTGGAAAATACACTTTATGAAAGATGACTTTTGGATTTGAAAAGAAATAAATGAATAACCTGTTGATTTAATTACATATAAAAATTAAATTAATGTAATTTTTACATATGATGTACAGACTGGAAATTGTCTGTTAAATCCAAAATCTATTAAATTGAGGCTTTACCACATTTAATTTTATATTTAAAATTTATTTTAGTAATTGTTATAATTTCCTAATTAAATGAGTCAAAAATATGAAAACAAAGAAAAATTTTACAGGTAGCTTACCAGAGATAAATATAATCTCAGAATTGCTTATTTCTGTATAGTATATTATTAATTTATAATATAAAAACTTGGAGAGTTGTTATGATAATCTTGCAAAGAATTTAAAATAACATTTAATTAAGTTTTTATTGTGTGCAATGTTAAATTTATGCAATTCAGCAACTTCATAGATTCAAACATTATTTAGTACAGTAAGACCCTGCTTAATGCGGGGGATACGATACATTCCTAGACAATAAAGCGCTGAACAAAATAGCATTAAATGAGGTCATTTTAACACAGAGTGAATAGGGAAAGAGGAACACACAACCAAAAATAAACAGATTTTACTTTAAGTTATTTTTATATTAATTTACATAATAATATAGATTAAATAACACACAAACATAAGCACACACAAATGTAAAGTTCATTTTTTGTGAAGAAGGCCTGGCTCTTCTGAAATTCTTGTTTTTTGCGATAAAGTCGTGTAGTTTCATTTGCCGCTTTCTTTTTGTTTTCTTAAGCAAATGTTGGTAGCAAGAGATCGCATCCAAAACACCTTGTCTTGCTTTTTCATTCTTTTCAAAACTTGGATCATTTGCTACAATTTGATGAATGATTTTGGTTATTGTTACCAAATTTTTACTAAGGAAATCTGTAACAATTTCTTTGGGTTCTTCGTTTTCAGAATCACTATTTTCCAGTTTTACATGAATTCCTTGTTCTGCCAGTTCCTGAAGGTCATTGTTGGTAAGGCTCTCATCAGAAACCTGCAGTAACTCCTCAATATCCTGCTCATCTACCTTTCCTAGTCCTGCTGTATCGATTAGGTTGAGTTTGGTCAACCCAGCGACAGGCTCTTCTCGTTGAGAATTCTTTGATACCTCCAGCCATATCTTCTTCCACACTTCGTTCATGCATTTATCAGTTAATTGTTGCCAAGCAAAGTCAATATTTCCTATGGCATCCATGATGTTATATTTTTTCGAAAATTACACAAAACAAACATAGATTTAAGGAAAGTACAGCACAACAATGAATTGTCACCTTTTGTTGATTGGTTTGTGTTTGGGAATAATCATATTATATACGAATGAATGAAATGCTGCGATAATTTGAATCAGCGTAAATTTTGAGCTTTTCTTAGGCTTCGAGCAGACCGCGTTTATCAAATCAGCATTATTTGAGGCAGTGTTAAGTGGGGTCTTACTGTGCTTGCATCAGTAGTATAATAATGAAGTATTATTATAAGAAAATTGCATCAACTTTGTTCATTAATTAGTTATATTTTCTGTTTGGTTTTACATAAATTATATCTGTTAGACTAAAACATGCAATAAAACAAATTTCACAATTGATGAAAGCAAGAACTACTGAATATTTTCTGTTGCTAAAATAAGGTACATTAGAAGTGTTTCTGCTAAAATGCTTGCTTACATATATTTTTAGCATTGTAGTCAATTTATTTGTTGAGTTATGAACTCATTTATGTATATGAATTCATACATTTGCATAATGATGACATCACCCAGGATTATCTTCATTTGAAGTTCAAGACGACTTACAAAAATTATAACTTTTTTGAGTCTATTCTTTTTAATCCTTTTCACAATACCACACAGAAGTAACAATCGATCGGCTTGAAGATATAATAAAATCTTCATTAAAATGACAATAATAGATTATTAAAAAAATTTCACACAGATGACTATCTGCTGTAGGCTGTTAACCCATTCAACAATGATTAGGTTCTGGCTTTAATGAAAGACATAAAAAATTTCTGTNAAACAAGAAAAAAATCACATTTTTCTGACAAAGGGTTGCAACTAAAAGGGACATTTTGTCAAGATATCGCAGACACCATTACTTGGTAATTGCAATTTTCTATTTTTTACAAGCTTTGTCCTGGAACTTTTCTGACAAATGGTGTAATTATGGTGTCCCTTATTTTGATGAAAATTTTTTTTTGTCAAAATATTTGTGCCCAACCCCTAATATACATATGATTTTAATGAATCTAAAATGAACCTAAATACTTCTTACTGCATCACTCTACAAAAATTAGATTTAATATTTAATGTTTTATTATTAATACAGTTTCTGCATTATTCACAGGCTTTTTAAAGTTTTAATTTTAATTAATTAAAACTATGAGATATACTTTAATGCAATATATGAACAACTGTTACATAACTTTGGAGTAGTTCTGCATCATCTCACCAATCTTCATGAGAAATGAAACCCAAATAGAATGTTTAGACATTTTTTTTTAATACAAAATAAAATTTCAAAAATCTTTAGGAAAAACATTCTTCTTAGTTTTACCAGAAGATGAATGAGAACTTGAAAGTACTTGAAAGCTATGACTTGGTTGTTTACATACTTTGTTAAAACTTATCTTGTAGTTTTAGTTCAATTGTGGAGTTATAGTTTTATTAATTATATAAGTTTTTACTAAAGGGAGACATCATCATCTCTCTTTAGTGAAAAGTTATATAATAGTTTAAAATTACAGCCTTAAAAAATATCTGCAAATAATCCAACAATTTATTTTGTTGTATTTATCTATCTATAATATAGCAAGATAGATTCAAATATATATGTATAAAAGTTGAAAGTCAAATGATTATGTTGAAAATATTTTTATACAGTGAATATGGTTTTAAAATAAATTACTTAAATTGGTTTTGTGTGGAGCTTTTAAATAACTGATGATGCCATTAGTGTTAATAAATTTGATAAATGTAAACAAACAGACATTCTTCATTTCTGAAAAATTTAGCCTTAAATGTTTCCTGATTTGTTGAAAAGTCAGATGTTTTAAATAATAGCAAAAGTATTTATTTTATTTTCTTTTTTGTTTGTTTAAGTACTATAAGTAGTATTGTCAACAAATCTGTGAACGTATTTGATGCAGATTGATTTGACCTTTTTTCAAATTTATTTTATTTTATTTTGTTGTACAGAAAAATGTATAAATTTTTATAAATATTTTATTTATTTTGAATTGTTTTATTAATAATACACGTTATTCGTAATGTATTTATTTTTAATTACAACATTATCATATTGTAGAAATTTTAATGTCTATGGGCTACACTAGAGATGAAATAGAAGATTCTCTTAGAAATAAAAAATATGATGATATTATGGCTAATTATTTGTTACTTGGAAAAAGACCTACTGAGGTATGTTTTAAAAATGTTGTTTTACATATATATAATAACTATTTAAGTGAATTATTATGGTAAAACCTCGATTTAACAGACTAATTCGAGTGAGGGATGTCCATTATACAATAAAGTAGGTTTCCCAGATAGGCATATTAAAAAATTTACAAATTAGTTAGTTAATCTGTTTTTACTTATGCAGATATGTTTGTGTAATTAAAATTAAGAATGTATGAGAAGTTTAATTTCACAGAAAAGTTTTCTATATGTATTATTNTGATTTTATATGGATTTGAATTTAAAAATTTATTTATAATAAATTTTTCAATATACACATGCATGCACACACATGTGTGAGTTTTGATAGTCTGAGGCACTACTACCCTTAAGCCAAAATATGCATAATCCACCAGAATGCATAAAAATTACATATTTGATATTCAAATCAAATATGTAACTTTTAGACACCAGATACAGTGGTACCTCAGGATACGAAATTAATCCGTTCCGAAACTGAGATTGTATCATGAAAATGTCGTAAGGGGAATCATTTTTCCCCATACGATTACCTGTAAAACCAAATAATTCATTCCAACACGAAAAACACACTCAAATTAAAGCTAAGTAGTATATTAAAAAAAATAACTATAGTAAGGAAAACACTGAAAATGCATTTTGTAGTTGTAAATGTATAAATAACCGTAATAGAATAATAAATGATTAAAAAAAAAAAAAAGTAGTTTTATTTGCACTTTATCTTTGAGGATAGACGACGGTGGAGGTGTAAACTGGTGGCGGAGGAGGGGGAGAAGAGAAATGATGCTAAAACTTAACTTACATAACATAATGTAACAATAACTTAAAAATAACTTAGAAAAGGTAAAAGAATTAGTGTTATTTTATATATTTTTGAAAATTTATATTCACTGCTTTTTGCTTTCTTTCCTTCACTTCCACCAGCACTTTCAATGCATAGAGGTCGCTTGGTAAAATATCTATCCAAAGAGGTTTGGCTTTGCCTACTTTTCAAAATGTTTCTAAAATGACTTAGGTAAATGTCATTACTCCGAGCAGCAATATGGTCAGTGTGAACCTTTTCGGGATGTTTCTTTTCAATAAAATCAGTCACTTTCTGATAATATCTCAAGATTAATATAATATAATATAATATCTCAAGATTCTGATAATAATCTGATAATATAATATCTCAAGATTTCATTTATCGAGCGAGATCCTTTCACGATGAAGCAAACACAGAATGAACAGAAGTGACTAAAAAATGGCGCTGCAAACTAATGTAACGTCATATGGTGAGTTTTTGTTCGTATCGTGGAGCAAAAATGTGTTTGAATTTCGTGTTGTATCCTAAAATTTCGTATGCTGGGGCGTTTGTATGCTGAGGTACTACTGTACTGAAATTGTAACTACACCTAATGGTATAACATCAGCTATAAATTTATTGCATTGTGAAATGATATGGTTGACAGATAATTTCAGATACAATTGCCACTTGTCCTGTATTGTACAAGATATTGTGTATTTTAAGCCAATAACATAAACACATTATATAATGCCTTTACTTGCTTCTGTTTTCAATTGTGTGTATATATATTGTAAGTCTTCAATAGTTCAAGATTATCTTGTTCCAAATAAACTGAAACTATTGAGACTATACTGTATTAGTTGTTTTCAAATGAAATATGCAAATTATTTGTATAGTCCATATTCTAAGTGGAATTTTATTTGCCTGATGAAATTGACAATGTATCATTGAAAGTACTATTTGCTTGATAATATTTTAACAATGAAAAAGTTTGTTAATTTGTTTACTTGTAACATTATATATTAACCATAATGTTTTTTCTATAAAAATTCTGAAATTATATACAGTCAAACTTCCATATTATGTTATGTGTATGTAGTGAATTTCTTTGTGTAATGAATTTTTGAATTGTACACGGCTCTTTCAGCCAAAAATATACGTAAAATTGTTTCTAAGTAATGAAGTTAAATTTCGATATAATGAATTTTTTTAATTTGTAAGGACCATTGATTATTGAGAGTCAATTATTCCATTTGGGTCAAGTTCAAATTTATGTTTAGTTTCAGGTATCAGTCTGTAAGCCCTTCGTAAAACCATAGCCCAGGCATGAGAAATACTGGCTGTTAGTTTTTAAAACCATTGTATAATCTGTCCCAATGTGGCTACCAGTTGTAAAGAAGGGAGAGATAGATTAAGTCCAAATGCAATCATTGACAGATTTACAATTAACAAATGTTGAAAACATTAGAAAGGTGATAATTTTGACAATTACTGGACTAATTTTTGAGGTTAATGAGATTTTATTCTAATAAGTTGTCCAGTTGGAATTTGAAGAACTGTTATTGTTTAAGTATAAATAAAAAAATTAGTATTGCAGGAAGTTGATAAAGGCTGATAAAAGAAAGACATTGTAGAAAAGTTTGGAATTTCTGCAAGTAGTTTTTCAATCATAATAACAAACTGTGAATCAATTTTGAAATTAGCTGAAAATGTGGGACCTACAGGAAAAATTTGCTAGAACCTGTGTAGATAAAACAGTATTAATGCTCTTAATAAGTATGAAGCATATTACAAAGAGAAAACATTTTTTAAATTGTTCCATGTAACAAAAAATAAAAGTTTTTTACAAAAATGTAGTTAAACTAATTATATTACACTTTATTACACTTTTTGGTAAAGTATTATTTTAATTTCTGTATAATTAAATTTCCCTATAGCAAAATTTTTTCAGGATTTAGCAACTTTATTATATAGAAGTTTGACTGTATTTGTATTTTTAATATAAGAAGTTAGATGCACAAATATAGAAACACACTTTAGGATAATAGAGAGATTCATTAATTGAGTATAAGAGAGAATATGTGAGGTTATAAGTTTGATGTTTTTAATAAATATAATTCAATAACAAAATGAATGAGAGACAAATAAAACTTCGTAAATTTTCATATTTACTCGCATATAATACAACCTCGCATATAGCACGAGGTGTGACTTTAAAGAACAAAATAAAGAAAATTAGATTTATTAATACAATTCTAATTTTATTTTGTTTTATCACAAGTAAAATATCAAATGAATGTAAATGCACACATTGTCCCGCAAAAATTATTGGCATTTTAAACTTTAAGGAAAAATATTGTAAAATCGACAACATAATTTGTTCGTGTAAAGCTGGACAATCGGGAACCTCTTTTGCCAATTCTAAACAGTTGATTACACTTATGAGTTTCTTCAAATTCTGATTTCTGAATAATCATCTGTTTTCATGTGGGAATGGATTAAAGCTTATATTATGTTCTCATGTGATTTTGAAATTTCAATCTGGAATTCAATTCAAAAGTTTTGCTATTCCTATTGCTATCCTTCTTTACTCCTGACAATATACAAGAATGATTCAAACGACCGAGATAAAATATGTTTTTTAAATACAAGAGAGTAAGCATCAGGTAAAAATTGTGAATACATGATTCACAAAAATTATTTGCAAAAACACAAAGAATCTTTCGCTCGTGCATATAAGATGACCTAAGAATTTGAAGCTGTGATAAAAGAATAAAAACCTTGTCTTAAATGAGAGTAAATACGGAATTTCAAGAAATTTCAGGTTTTTGCACTAAATATAATAATAATTATTGTTGGAATTATAATGTCGGTGATTTCAGTAATAATGAAATGAAATAAAATATAATAAAAAAGTTTATGATACAACTGTTTACTATATTTTATACCGTTTCTAGACAACTTGAAATTATGCTGTGTAAACATTCTTTATAGTGCATAAAACATATAGAGTTATGAGATAATACATTTTAAATATATGACTATAAGCATATAAAGTAGAATAAAGTTAAACTTGAAGAGTTGGAGATTAGACTTAAATTACTTTGTAAAATAAGATTGGTCATACAGTTAATTATTGAAGATGTTGATGAGCTTCAGAATCTTCTAGGTACAATCTTCAAATCACTCAATACAAATGGTCTTCATGACATCTAACACAAATTGCAATTACAGAATGAAAAATTGCTTTGTATCTAACACTCCAATGCTATTATTTTTCAAACTTAAGTGTTTAATATTCTGTCCCTATTTATCTTTTAGATATTCAGATATATATCATAAAATTCAAAAAATAGTGATGAACTAAAGACAATTTTTTAAAAACACCAACAGTATTATTTTGCAAATTGTTTTTATGCCTTTTGTATTGTCACTGATAATTCTTTACAGTTTTTTTATTGGAATTGTAATCAATTAATTGTGCTATATACTCACCCTACCAACATAAAAAAAAATTCATGTTAAATTTTATTTTTGAGTGTTCTGATTTAATTGAACAGTAGTTTATAATAACACTTACATGAAATCAGTTAGCTCAGTTAAACCTGGAATGCACAATGAATTACATCAGTTGATAATTGAATGATAAACAAATTATGCACATATATAATGGAAACCTAATGCTTTCTGTTGAATTCTTTTGTATTTAGAGATTATTATGGGTATTTTAAGGAGATTAAGGAATCTGTTTGAAACATTGAACAAAATTCAGTTATTTATAATTAAGATTGTATATATTTCCACATTATCATCTAGATAGCAACTGTATATATAAGAGCATATGTTAGCCAAAAAATTTTGTAAGTTAACATAAGTAATCCATGAGGAACATCAGTCAGTTTCAAAAAATGCATTTATTGTGTACTTTTTACAACAAGTTGAAATATATTGCAGATATTACAAATGTTAACAAATACAGCACTGGTACTGTACATACTTATTTATAAGACTCAGGACAGCCAGACTTTTTTATGATATAATACAATGCCACTTCATGCCAACGTTTATTATATGATTATAACACTTACGTGTTGTGGCGTTACAGGAGTGGAGTCTTGGAGAATGAGCTCATCTGACTTTAGAAAATGAACTCATCTGACTTTAGAAAATGAACTCATCCACTAGTACTTTCAGT